AAAGCTGAATGTCTGTTTGTATGTTTGTCTGTCTGTCTGTATGTCTGTCTCTATGTACGTATGTTCCGAATAGAAAATTCCATTTCTGAACCGAACCGGACCAAACTTGGCACACATACACATCGGTCCCCGGCGGGTGTCACAGGCTACTTTTCGTCATCGATCGATGTCGATTTTATCGATTTTTATAGATTACTAGCTGGCTTACCCGGCTCCGCCGTATCCGGACCAAACTTGGCACACATACACTTCGGGCCCCGGCGGGTGTCACAGTCCACTTTTCGTTATCGATCGATGTCGATTTTACCGATTTTTATCGATTTTTTGCAGAGTTCACCTACAGGGCTAGGAGTTGGCACAGGGGGGTAATCGAGCATGGGGATTCCGAATACAACATTAGTTTTCAGGATCGTCCATTACTTTTATCGATTTTATCGGTTTTTTCGTAAAGTTTGACCTGCGGGGCTGGGAGTTTGCACAGGGGGGTAATCGAGCATGCTGTTTACGAACACAATATTAGTTTTCAGGATCGTCCATTACCTTTATCGATTTTATCGATTTTTTTTGTAAAGTTTGACCTGCGGGGCTGGGAGTATGCACAGGGGGGTAATCGAGCATGGGGATTCCGAATACAACATTAGTTTTCAGGATCGTCCATTACTTTTATCGATTTTATCGGTTTTTTCGTAAAGTTTGACCTGCGGGGCTGGGAGTTTGCACAGGGGGGTAATCGAGCATGCTGTTTACGAACACAATATTAGTTTTCAGGATCGTCCATTACCTTTATCGATTTTATCGATTTTTTTTGTAAAGTTTGACCTGCGGGGCTGGGAGTATGCACAGGGGGGTAATCGAGCATGCAGATTACGAACACAATATTAGTTTTCAGGATCGTCCATTACTTTTTCGATTTTATCGATTTTTTGAAAATTTGAGCTAGGGGGCTGGAATTTGGCACAGGAGTGTAATCGAGCATGCTGATCACCCCCCTGGGAATGATCAGCATGCTCGATTACCCCCCTGTGCCAACTCCCAGCCCCCTAGCTCAAACTTTGCAAAAAAATCGATAAAATCGATAATAGTAATCGATAATCCCGAAAACCAATATTGTATTCGGAATCCCCATGCTCGATTACCCCCCTGTGCGAACTCCCAGCCCCGTAGCTCAAACTTTGCAAAAAAATCGATAAAATCGATAAAAGTAATCGATAATCCTGAAAACCAATATTGTATTCGGAATCCCCATGCTCGATTACCCCCCTGTGCCAACTCCCAGCCCCGTAGCTCAAACTTTGCAAAAAAATCGATAAAATCGATAAAAGTAATCGATAATCCTGAAAACCAATATTGTATTCGGAATCCCCATGCTCGATTACCCCCCTGTGCCAACTCCCAGCCCCGTAGGTGAACTCAGCAAAAAAATCGATAAAAATCGATAAAATCGATATCGATCGATGACGAAAAGTAGCCTATGACACCCGCCGGGGCCCGTAGTGTATGTGTGCCAAGTTTGGTCCGGATCGGTTCAGAAATGGAATTTTCTATTCGGAACATACGTACATACATACATACATACATACATACATACAGACAGACATACAAACAGACATTCAGCTTTATATATAAGATTTGCAGAGTTCACCTACGGGGCTGGGAGTTGGCACAGGGGGGAGGGGTAAGTGAGCATGGGGATTCCGAATACAATATTAGTTTCCAGAATTATCGATTACTTTTATCGATTTTATCGATTTTTTTGTAAAGTTTGACCTGCGAGGCTGGGAGTTTGCACAAGGGGGTAATCGAGCATGCTGATTACGAATACAATATTAGTTTTTTAAATGGTCCATAACTTTTATCGATTTTATCGATTTTTTGCAAAGTTTGAGCTACGGGGCTGTGATTTGGCACAGGGGGGTAAGTGAGCATAGGGATTCCGGATACAATATTAGTTTCCAAAATTATCCATTAGTTTTATCTATTTTATCGCTTTTTTGCAAAGTTTGAGCTGCGGGGCTGGGAGTTGGCACAGGGGGGGGGGGTAAGTGAGCATGGGGATTCCGAATACAATATTAGTTTCCAGAATTATCGATTACTTTTATCGATTTTATCGATTTTTTTGTAAAGTTTGACCTGCGAGGCTGGGAGTTTGCACAAGGGGGTAATCGAGCATGCTGATTACGAATACAATATTAGTTTTTCAAATGGTCCATTACTTTTATCGATTTTATCTTTGCAAAGTTCGAGCTACGGGGCTGTGATTTGGCACAGGGGGGTAAGTGAGCATAGGGATTCCGGATACAATATTAGTTTCCAAAATTATCCATTAGTTTTATCTATTTTATCGCTTTTTTGCAAAGTTTGAGCTACGGGGCTGGGAGTTGGCACAGGGGGGTAATCGAGCATGTTGATTACGAATATAACATTAGTTTTTGGTATTACCTATTACTTTTACCGCTTTTTATCGATTTTTTTCCAGATTTGTGTCGATGGGCTGGGAGTTGGCACGGGGGGGGGGTAAGGGGGCATGCTGATTTCGAAAACAACACAGGGAACCGGAAATGAAGTGAAGTGGGCACAGGGAAAGGCTGTACAGGGATAGGGATGGGACCTCTATTACAGTGTTTTGACAGGGCCGGGCGGAGCCGGGTAAGCCAGCGAGTAGTTTTTGAAATTACCCACTACTTTTATCCATTTTTTGCAAAGTTTGAGTTACGGGACTGAGAGTTGGCACAGGGGGGTAATCGAGCATGCTGATTACGAATACAACATTGTTTTCCAACATTATCAATTACTGTTATCGCTTTTTGTCGATTTTTCAGGATTTGAGTTGAAGGGCTGAGAGTTGGCACAGGGGGGTATGTAGGCATGCTGATTTCGAAAGCAACACAGGAAAGGGGAAGTGAAGTGTAGAAGTGGGTACAGGGAAAGGCTGTACAAAGATAGGGGTTTGACATTTATTACACCGTTTCGACAGGGCCGGGCGGAGCCGGGTAAGCCAGCTAGTGTTTCATACATTTGATTGAAGGCTTACGAACATGTCGATGTCGAAGCATCTTTCGGAAAGACAGCCTTGATCAGCAATTTCCAGGTGCTCAGCAGTTCAAATATACCAACCAAAAGTCTTTTGATATTGCTCTCAATATAGAACATATTAAATTGAAACGAAAGTTCGTTCGCACCATTTTCAAAAAATCGCGTCTTCTTTCTCTTAAGATAACCTTGCATGAGAAAAATATTATCAGGAATAACAAAGCGTACACTTTAAAGGTTCATCTTGCTTGCTCTTTACTATGTTTTGATTGCTGAGATAAAAAAAATCGTTTCAATTTTGGCATATCGAGGAAAGCCCGTCAAAAATTCCAAATCTGTACCTTAAAACTCAAAACAGTAACCTAAGTTTTTTGATCCCCTCTTTCAAGGCTGAGTCAAGTGTGCGCCAACCGATTTCTTCTCAAAAAAGTTATGATTCTCGATAAAAAATGCCAAAAAATCAGTCTCTTGAAAAAATTGATTTTATGACTCTTCTCAAAAATCACAATTTTCAAATAACACCTTAATCAGCGCGAATTTAACTTCGCTAGAAAGAGCGGGTCAAGTAATCTGGGATACAACCCGTTTTGGACATGGCACAGGTTTGGATTTTTTGACGGGTTTGCCTTAAAATTCCAAAAGTGTGATTTCTTTTCACAGATTTACTTCTGCATTTAAAGCTTAGTAGGGAACAAGCAAAGTGTTTTAAGAACGTGTACGTTTTGCTCTTTCTAATATTATTTTTCTCTTGCAAGATTATCATAAGAGAAAGAAGTCACGATTCTCTGATTACGGTGCAAACGAACTTTCGGTTCAACCTAATATTTCGTGAGATCATCACAAAACACCAGCCAGTTTGGGGCATTAAATGAAGTTAAAAATACCTGCCAAGGAAGTACCGCTTCCAAAAAAACGGTCAAAGTTTTGCATTTATTGTGTAAAATATTTGTCGATTATTGAAAGGTATTTTCATAAGCAGAAAAGAGAAGGTAATTATGAACAAACTAGCTGGCTTCCCCGGCTCCGCCGTATGTTCCGAATAGAAAATTCCATTTCTTAACCGATCCGGACCAAACTTGGCACACATACCCTTCGGGCCCCGGCGGGTGTCACAGTCCACTTTTCGTTATCGATCGATGTCGATTTTATCGATTTTTTGCAAAATTTGAGCTACGGGGCTGGGAGTTGGCAGAGGGGTGTAATCGAGCATGCCGATTACGAATACAATATTAGTTTTCGAAACCGTACATTACTTTTATCGATTTTATCGATTTTTTGCAAAATTTGAGCTAGGGGGCTGGAATTTGGCAGAGGGGTGTAATCGAGCATGCTGATCACCCCCACGGTGGTGATCAGCACGCTCGATTACCCCCTGTGCCAAATCCCAGCCCCGTAGCTCAAACTTTGCAAAAAAATCGATAAAATCGATAAAAGTAATGCACGATTTTAAAAACTAATATTGTATTCGGAATCCCCATGCTCACTTACCCCCCTGTGCCAACTCCCAGCCCCGTAGCTCAAATTTTGCAAAAAATCGATAAAATCGATATCGATCGATACGAAAAGTAGCCTATGACACCCGCCGGGGCCCGAAGTGTATGTGTGCCAAGTTTGGTCCCGATCGGTTCAGAAATGGAATTTTCTATTCGGAACATACGTACATACATACAGACATACATACAGACATAGATACAGACAAACAGACATTCAGCTTTATATATAAGATTATTGATAAAAAGCAAAACTTTTTTCTTGCCCACTTAGGCCGCGTTCATACTGATCCCGAAGTTCGGGAACAGTTCCAGCACTGCGCACAGCTCGAGCACTGTGCTAGAACTGTTCCTGACTTCGGGATTAGTGTGAACGCAGCCTTACTCATGTTTTCGTTGCTGCTGCCGGTGGGCTCAGGATGCCTAGTATCAAATGCTCATCAACTGACATATCTGAAGTTTTGTTTTCAAAATTTATGAAGCACAAAAAGATTACAAATAAGTGTTATCGTTTACTGGGTAGGGTTTCTGCTGGATTGATGGGTTGTACCGCGTGATCCCATCAGGCATCAGGTGTTGCGCTTAAAGCCGAGTGCTTTTCGAGCGCACATTGGCAACCACTTGGCATCTAAATGTATGTGAAGTGGAGAGCAAAGGAAAATTGTGTTTTTACAATTATTCAGAAATTGAAAAACCATCAACTTAAAGGTTACTCGTTGATGCAAGTCATACCTCGAAGTCCTCAGACAGAAAATTGTCGTTTCCTACAGTTCGCAATAATGTTACTGGGCTCTTAGTAGAAACGCATGTGCCTTGTGCTGAAAGGTCAGGCTATAGCGCTGTACTATAATCTGCGGGAAATGACTTACGTCTACCATTATAGAAAGCACAACCGCCGTCATTCCCATCACAAATTTTTGCATGAAGAAGCCTTGGGTGACAGTTATCGCTGACCCTGTAGACTCTGTGGCATGCTAGAAGGTATGGTTTGTCTGTAGGAAAGAAGCTGTGACGAAAGGAAAGAAATTACTTTTACACATGCTTAGTTTTCCTGGTGAGATTTCTTTCCCCGCTGGCCCGCACTCTTCATGGACAAGAGCTGAAAGATAGTTGCTTTTTTTGTTGAGTTTATCGTCATCTTAGCTCTCACTTAGCTTGCAAGAAGAGCTTGTGATCTGACTTTGCGTCCATCTCCTAGTTCTTTTTAGATCTCCGGCAGATTTACGCGATTTCTGGCACTCAACATCGCAGTAATGTTCCGATGTAATAGGATGTGACTGAAATGTAGTTGAGAATTACCACACTAATCGGAACAGAAAGAGGATTACATTGCTCTTGTTGCCAGTGGCCGCCAAGTTGGATTGTGCACTGAGATTGAAGTTCCGCAGTGCGTCTTCAAGCACCTGGAATTTTCAAACCACTAGATTTAAAAAAGCCAGTGAACCAGTATTTCCAACAATGATAATGACTGCTGAATTTCTTTTGTATTTGTAGCACATCCTCACCTTTTGCTGAAGACTTTCCTGACAAAGTACGGTGAAGAAGATTAAGAAGAAGTGAAGAAATGTTGGAAAGATATCAGTTATGCGCAAAGTCTTTTGAAAATTCCGTAAACCTACAGTACCCACACTAATTATTCGAGAGAGAACGCAAAAACTGACGATCCGCGTTTTTTTCGTTTTTTCTTCATAACTTCCTTCAAATTGCATAAAATACAAATCCGAAGAAAGCGTGATGCTCAGCTCGTCAAGATGAATCTTCTGATATACTGCACTCTCGTACTATTCTGTTTTCAATCTGCTCGATTTTTGTGTGAGGACGGGTATTCGTAGTGGTATAACTCATCGAAGAACACACATGGAAGATTCAAGTAAACATGGTTCAGTAGTGCTGTCCCCGTAGATTATCCTGTACTAGTGAGTAGCGAAGGATTCCCTTTCCATAGGGAAGGATAGGCCGTTTAATTTGAAAAAATCGATGTCTCTCAAATTTTCGCTACCGTAACCATACAGTAAGACGCTAGCTTGCAAAGCAGGTGTGCTTTTCGTGATCAGCAGTTCAGATAACTTCTATGCGCAAGTTTTCCAAGAAATTCGGAACCTTTCATTTCTTTTCGTTCTAGGCTGAGAAGCTCGCCGACGGGTTTTGGCTAAAATATTGATGATCTTGGATTGACCGGCAACTTCGCCCATAGAGGTTTTCGGACTCGCTGATTACAGAAACAGTGCCCCCTGTGCAGCATAAGTTCTTTTGGCAGAGTTATGCTGAGAGGAATGCTGCGATACTACGCAAGTTCCTAAGTTTGTCTGCCCTTTGCGCGAGTCTGTTGGACAACTTACCTGCTCCTTTTTGTAATTTGAAATCACTAGAGGCAGTGCTCTTAGAGCATGCTTAAACTAGGCCTTTACCTATATTGGTCGCCGAACTGTGAGCTGACGAACTCACGTCCGCATGAAGATCGTTCGAAATTTTAAGATTGCATATTTTGGCCAAATATCGCCGCGAATGGTTACAGATGACTCTGATTGCAGATATTTGTCTATATACACATGTAAAGTGATAATTTATGCCGCATACTGCTGCTTATTCCTTGTGCCAACTCATACACCAGTAACTCAAAGTTTGCAAAAAATCGATAAGCCGATATCGACCGATGAAGAAATGTAATCTATCAGACCAGCTCGGCTCCTAAGGCCGGGCTCATACCGATTCTCATGTTCTGGAACTGTTCCGCACAGTCCCGCAATGTTCCCGCACTGTGCTGGGAACTGTGCGGAAACTGCAACTGTGCTGCATGCGCTGCAGCCGCCCCGCACGCGTTTTGAACGGCCGGAGTTGGAGAATTTTGAACATTTTCAACGGTTTTTTTTCCAGATCCCTCTTTTGGCCTTATTCCTCTACCCCGCTCCTTTTTTTGATCAGCAGAACTTCGAGCTCGAAGCGGGGTTGAAGAATGAGCGCTTTTCTGTTCTGCGTATGCGACAAAATGTGTGTTCTTACGCTCGTCCATTTTCTCTTCGCTTTTACACAGACTTATTCCATTTGTTCCAGGAAGCCCCTGCGTAGTTTCCATAGCCATCTGCAATGAATTAGAAAGTAAGAGCAATTCTGAAATTGTATGAATTGAGACTTGTCACTTGTTTTGATGAGTTTTGTTTTTGGGCATCCTCCGCCCCTTTCCTTTTTCCATATCGTTGCTTCTCCTTTTTTTTCTTCTATCCCTCTTCTCCTTGTGATGAGAAAAGCTGTGAACTTAGAGCGGAGTTGAGGATTGAACGCGGTTCTCATCATGTATCGGGAAGATGAACCTTCTTGCGCTCGACCATCTTCTCTGTCATTTTTGTTCAGGCCCACATCATTTGTTCTAGAGACCTGTCCATGTCCCTTTCAAGTACTCTGCGTTGATACCACTGCTTCCTAGAACACATGAAGTAGGCCTCGGCAAAAATGGAAGAAAATGGACAAGCGCAAAAAGAGCAATCTGCCCGTATATGGAACAGAGCAAGGTTATTTCTTTAACTCGCTTTAATTTCACACCTTTTCTCGTCACAAGGAAAGGGGCTGAGAATGGCCAAAAAGGAAACTCAACAGAAAACAAGAGAAAAGTCCCAATTTATGCAGCTTCAGAATTGCTCCTACTCCCTAATTCATGGCGAAAAGCGCTCATTCTTCAACCCCGCTTCGAGCTCGAAGTTCTGCTGGTCAAAAAAAAGAAGCGGAGTAGAAAAATAAGGACAAAATGAGAGGAATTTGGAAGAAAAACCATTTAACAATTCTCCAACTCCCGCCGTTTAAAACGCGTGCGGGGCGGCTGCAGCGCATGCAGCACAGTTGCAGTTTCCGCACAGTTCCCAGCACAGTGCGGGAACATTGCGGGACTGTGCGGAACAGTTCCGGAACATGAGAGTCGGTATGATCCCGGCCTTAGGAGCCGAGCTGGTCTGATAGATTACATCTCTTCTTCGGTCGATATCGGCTTATCGATTTTTTGCAAACTTTGAGTTACTGGTGTATGAGTTGGCACAAGGAATAAGCAGCAGTATGCGGCATAAATTATCACTTTACATGTGTATATAGACAAATATCTGCAATCAGAGTCATCTGTAACCATTCGCGGCGATATTTGGCCAAAATATGCAATCTTAAAATTTCGAACGATCTTCATGAGGACGTGAGTTCGTCAGCTCACAGTTCGGCGATCAATACAGGTAAGGGCCTAGTTTAAGCATGCTCTGAGAGCACTGCCTCTAGTGATTTCAAATTACAGAAAGGAGCAGGTAGGTTGTCCCACAGACACGCGCAAAGGGCAGACAAACTTAGGAACTTGCGTAATATCGCAGCATTCCTCTCAGCATAACTCTGCCAAAAGAACTTATGCTGCACAGGGGGCACTGTTTCTGTAATCAGCGAGTCCGAAAACCTCTATGGGCGAAGTTGCCGGTCAATCCAAGATCATCAATATTTTAGCCAAAACCCGTCGGCGAGCTTCTCAGCCTAGAACGAGAAGAAATGAAAGGTTCCGAATTTCTTGGAAAACTTGCGCATAGAAGTTATCTGACCTGCTGATCACGAAAAGCACACCTGCTTTGCAAACTAGCGTCTTACTGTATGGTTACGGTAGCGAAAATTTGAGAGACATCGATTTTTTCAAAATTAAACGGCCTATCCTTCCCTATGGAAAGGGAATCCTTCGCTACTCACTAGTACAGGATAATCTACGGGGACAGCACTACTGAACCATGTTTACTTGAATCTTCCATGTGTGTTCTTCGATGAGTTATACCACTACGAATGCCCGTCCTCACACAAAAATCGAGCAGATTGAAAACAGAATAGTACGAGAGTGCAGTATATCAGAAGATTCATCTTGACGAGCTGAGCATCATGCTTTCTTCGGATTTGTATTTTATGCAATTTGAAGGAAGTTATGAAGAAAAAACGAAAAAAACGCGGATCGTCAGTTTTTGCGTTCTCTCTCGAATAATTAGTGTGGGTTTTAACTCAACTATTTCAAAACCTCAAATTCTCATACATACAAGATCCCCAATTCAAGCATTTTCAAAAATTCTGCGCAGCATTCCAAAACCAAGCAAATTGTCGCTCTATATAATTTTCTTTTTTCATCCTTGGCAGTTAAAATTTTGCAGATTTGCTACAAAATGTCAGAAAGTCAAAGACTGTCAAAAAGTTGCTACTGTTGCTGTAGTTGCTGTAGTTCTTTGAACTTCGGGCTCGGACAAGTGCTACCTGCAGCAAAAACCGTGGTTCCCAGCAAAAATGTTCCCGAGTTCGCAGAATTTAAATTACTCATGACTATAGTATGTATGACATTCATAACTATCGTGATCATAAAAAATGAAATTGCCGACTTCGGACAAATGTCAGACCTTGTTTTTTGCTCCTTTGTCATTTAATACTGAATCATCAACTGGTGCATTGATCTCGTTGTATTCTGAAAATGCAAGAAGTTAGAGAAGTCTTTGAAACCTGTTCATACTTGTTTTGTCAGAGAAATGGTCTACCAAAATCGCAGATTTTTTTTATAAATTCTTGTGTCATTTTCCCATTCTTTCATTAATAAGAGCCAAAAGTGTGAGTCTTCCATAAAATGTATCTAACGTTAAATCTGTAATATTGTAAATTATTGTAATTCTCTTGTATAAAAGCTTTAGCCATCCTTTGAACACCACATTTTAGAGCTGGCTTCAACTCAGATTTACAGTATGAAGCAATCACCGACTTTTTATTACTGTAGGATTATGGTCAAAACTCTCGTCTTACCGCTTCATTGCGGAATACCCCGTTTCATGAGGTTTCTTCAAAAACCCTGAAAAGTCGTGAAAAGTTGTGTACAAGGTTTTCAGGTCACATTATTTGATTTTTAACGAGTTTTTGAAGCTTTTTGAATGGTGATCACTTCTTCAGAGAACTCTGTAGAAAAACTATTGCGGTCTACTTGGCATAAATATAAGGGAAGCACCGCGCAGAATTGGAGACTTTATATATGTGTCAGCGGCTCTGATCAGTCTAGTGTATGATTATCAAGCTTGTGCGGTTTGCTTTCTGAGGGAAAATACGGCTCTGAATAGCTCAGTACCTTCTCCAGAATCTCTCCGTAATCTCACAGTAACGAAGAGCGGCCAGTGCTACGCTGTATTATCTAAGTTGAAGCCATTTCTACAACATAGTCTTTACAAGAAAGCGAAAGCTTTCCATATAAGAAAATTATCCCAGATCAAACGATCGACACCCTGCATATGAGATGATTTGAAGTCATCTTTTAGTTGAGTTGAACAAAAACACTTTTACAACTTGTACAATTGAACTTTTTGATTATTGACAAGAAAGTTATAATTCTGGCGCTTACCTGCATATTTATCAACTGTCCCCGACTCGCAATTCCTTTGACATATGAGCATGAATAGGAAGATCACAGGTAGTTGCTTCATGGCTGGAAATCTAGTGCCCTATTTTCAGGTGTATAAGCTGCACTCTTTTCGCTCTAAAGGCGAACACGCCAAAAGACTGACTGTCATCATGGAGCGCGTTAAGTGAGAGCAGTATGCGATAAGGCGGCCGCTTCGCGAGACATATGCGCGGCGGCACGCCTGAATCTGCTCGTTAGAGCAAAAAGGATGCGGCTTATACACCTGAGAATCTTGTATAGCTGAATGTCTGTTTTCTGCCTGTCTGTTTTTATGTGTGTATGTCTGTGTGTACATATGTTCCGAATAGAAAATTACGTTTCTGAATCGATCCGGACCAAACTTGGCACACATAAACTTCGGGCCCCGGCGGGTGTCATAGGCTACTTTTCGTTATCGATCGATATCGATTTTATCGATTTTTTGCAAAATTTGAGCTACGGGGCTGGGAGTTGGCACAAGGAGGTAATCGAGCATGCTGATTACGAATATAATAATGACAGGGCCGGGCGGAGCCGTGTAAGTTAACTTGTAGGGAATAAAAAAGCGTTTAAAATAAAACTATTGCTACTGCCAATGGCACTTCTGAAAACAATCACGCAGCACACAAATTCGAATGAAAACCAACAAGTAATGGTTGTTTATTCAATTTACATCAGCAAAATTCTCAGATCTAGGGGGCAGTGGCGGCCCAGGATTTCGGACCGGGGGGGGAGCGACAACTTTTTTCTGAATGAAGGTGCACGCTTCCCAAATTTTTGTACGCCCCACTCCCCCAAAAAAATTTTTTTACAAGGCTGATTTGAATTTTTAAAAGATTTTGAAAATATTTTAATTATCTACAAGTATAAATAAGTCACTTGCACATTTTTATAACCCGTATAAGTAACTTTCAAAAATTTCGCGACCCATTTTCGAGGGGGGGGGGGGGGGCGCCTGCCTCGGACCCTCTCGGGCCGCCACTGCTAGTGGGTATGAATCTTCCAAGTTGATGAGCACGAGAAATTTGAGTTATGCCTTCGAAATAACGAAGGTTTAGCTGACTTTATACTTTAACGTTTACTCTATCGACTAAGAGTAAGTTTAGACTGGATTACATGTGTAATTCGTAAGAATTCTATCATTAATCTAATTAACTCTGTTTAAGTAGAAGCGAATACCGCAAACAGGCGCCACCTCCCAGGAACATGGTCCTTCGCACATGCGAGCGTGTGAACCCCTTAGCTTCAAGCTCCGTTGTTCGACTCAACTTCCTTTGACGCTCTCTTACGCAGTTAAAACTTGCACTTCTCACTCGCAAAACTGGTCGGAAAAAGCCAGTCGGAAGCTTTACGGACACCTCATAGAACGCTTAGCGCAGCTCTTCGAAGATTACCTGACCCACAAACATTTTGCGATTCATTTTGTTTTTGTTTCATTTTTCATTTCGCATTTTTTTGTCTCAAAATTTCGCAATACTATAAGAAGAATGCCCCGTCTTCGCGACCAAGCAGAATACTTGCAAAGAGTATCCAGCTGAGAAATCAGCTGGATACTCTTTTCGCACCTGAAGCTTGTGGTGGCAGCCATTGACGACGACCAGAGGATCGTTACATATCTGCAACAAGGGGCAGGGATCGTTGGAAACTTTTGCGCAGGAGCTAGCGCGCCACTGAAGGTCTAATCGTAAGTATCTAGGTTTCTAAGTAAGCGCACACCGTATTTAAAACAGAATTCGTGGAGCCGAACCTATTTTACTATGCACTATCTCTGGTTCCAGAAAATTTCTTCCTTTGTTGCTGAACCCAAAAATACATCGAAAAAAAGTACTTTGAAAAGGATAATGCGCTTCAGATTTCAACGAGGAAGTGGCTTGTACAGCAGGAATTGTAAAATTTTATGTGTCAAGGAGGTGAATTTCCGATACGATTGCCACCCTTGTATTCCTCTACTACTAATCCGCAGGGCACGGCTTATGGTCACTGTAACGTTGGTCTTCATCGTTCTTTTTAATATTAAAAAGTTGAAGTAACAAGGCTTTGCTCATATAAACATTTTGAATCTCTACTACATGAGCAATTTGGCTTTATCAATATTTCTGTAAACGCGAATTCATCAATTGTCGAGTTTTGTAAGAATTAGTGTATAAATCGTCCAAATGTTTTTGTTAAGGCTCGTTATGGGTCTACCTTGACTACGTACTTTGAATATCTCGCTATTTCGCAGAGATATTGAAAAAGCAAGACTTGTGCACATAGCAAGCTAATGGCGGAAATACACAAACTAGTGTGGGGCAGTAGACGTCAACTATGAAATCCGAATAGACAAATGCTATCAGTGCTGCTGCCTTTCAAAAAAATTGGAGGAAACGTGACATATGACAGCACTTGTTCATTACAGTAAGAAATTTGCTGAACTGAACTTTTCGTAGTATAACGAATAAACAGTGCTGCATGACTTTGTTGGTGTGATTAATTCGTAGACCACTTCTTGACGTACCGTATTTCGTGTTAATCATTATCTGCTCGAAATGCCCACAAAAAACGCCGGGGTTATTCACCACATGTTCTATTACGTGCTGGATGATTTGCTGCTAAAGGGTCTTGACTTATATTGAAGCGGCACTTCACTACGAAAGCTCCTAATCATAAGCGTGAACTTTGAATTTCATGTCCTTCACTTGTGCTATTCCTTCAATTGTGATACCTTGACGGATTCATATCTAAAAAAAAGTTTTAGTTACACTTACATCGGCAGGAGAATGAACAATTAAAGTATTGTCAAATGCGTCGCCACTGAAATCGCTTGAGGTATATGCCCAGGGCCTAACACTCTGTGGTGAAAAGTGCGCATTTGTTGCAAATGTCCCTGTACCCCGGATTGCACCGTTAAAGTATTGGGAGATTGTATCAAAGTAGTAAGAAAGGGGTCTGACATCATTCAAAGAATTCTAAAGCATGGTGAAACGTCCTTTAGAGGCATGTGCAACCAGTTAAGGTCATAGTGAGAGTCCGTGGTAAGCGAAGCACTGGTTAACTTCGTTAACATGTTACAGTCTGCCCCAATCCTAACCAGGCCAAAATTGGCATGGCGGGAGTCCGCGTCGATAGGGTTTCGCGGTCACGCCCACGGCCTGCTTCTCTGCTCTCTCTTCAATCCTTTGGCTCTTTCCGACAGCGCGCATATGCAGCGCAGACCGTTAGCGCTGCGAGCGCGCAAATTTATGCTGACGCTTCGGCCTGATCCCGATTGGAGCAGACTGTAGAACTTACAAGGGAATGGTCAAAAGTCGAAGTGGCCAATCCAAACAAACTGCATACCATTCGATGCAGCATAGAACGCTAATTTCAAATCTGCCTTCGTATCTGCAGAGCGCCTTTGTAGGCGAAGTTATGAGCAGCTTTACTGCGAAAAAACCGTGTACAAAAATTGCGTAATTAGACACATTATTGCTGTTTCAGCTCACATCTAGGTACGGGTCCTATGAACTGACCTAGTTGCATGCTTTGGTCCAACACTGAGCCGAGAATGGCTTTGTAGGCCAAGTCTGCATTTTACATGCAGAATTTCTTAGCAAAATAATGGCCTTCAACGGCTTATAAATCCGTCCACAAAAGCGCTTGCAGATAAGGAAGACAGATTTAAAGTCAGCATTTTATACTGCATTCAATGGTATGCAGCTTGCATGGATTGGCCACTTCAAATTCTGACCATTCCCTTGTTATTTTTCGATTCTAATGGCTTGGCGGCTGGAAAACGGGCTTCGTTTTCTTGTGGCCGCTCGCGCCCACGATGCAGTCTGCGTTTCTGTCGTCCGCGTGCTCTCTGGCTATATCCAGCTTTTAGTAGGTCACGAAGCTTCGCCTTCCAACCGCCAATCCAGTTCGATTAAAGGGTAAGTGATGTTCTGTCTCACCTTGTTCAGACTGACAATGCATAGTCAACTAACATTGAATTCGAGTCTACCGTGTTTCAGGTCCTGGTCAAAAGCTATCCGAGATTGCAGCTTTTAATGACTTTAACCTAATGCGTCGAACTCTAGTTCAAAAAATCTTTCTCTTTCTCTCTCGGGGGTTGCAGATAGTGAAACAGATTTGGCAGCTTTTATGCACTCATAAAAAGTATACGATTGGATGGCATGGGAACTTCATGTATCCACCTTTGCAACTTGCTAGATCGTACCATAATTTATGACAATTGATTTGCGAAAATTATGTTTCCATTGCATTCAAGAACTTCCTTCGACTGATTTACGCTTAGCCCAAAAACGTAATCAAAACATTTGATGCCACAAAAAGTGACGAGATTCTAAGGCAAAAAACTCGCTTCACTTTGAACATAGCCGCACGTCGATTCTCGTCCTTACCAAACAGAACTTGATGACCGTATACTGCCGTTGCGATGCTGTCGACGGCGTGCCCCACCACGCTTTCCTGCTTTGGTAAGGACGAGATTGAATTAAGGGGGAGCTATGTTCGATGCACGGAGTGTACTGATATCATCACTGCTACGTTTGAATTATAGAAAAATATCACGAGCGATTGTATCCAGGTTTCGTCAGTTCTTTGTTTTGATTTTGTTTTTTCTTTTTTTGCTGCAGCGATCTCTCTTCATTGCGCAGAACCTTTGAAGAGGGCATTGAGCCAGTGAGTTGCATGTTATGCTTTATCCAGTAAACCAGACAATCTGGAATCTTTCACACTGGTATGAAGTGAGTCGCTGACTTCATATATGGGAATTTTTGTGTAACTTTTTTATAAGTTACTAGCTGGCTTACCCGGCTCCGCCGTATATTCCAAATAGAAAATTCCATTTCTTAACCAATCCGGACCAAACTTGGCGCACATACACTTCGGGCCACCCGCCGGGGCCCGAAGTGTATGTGCGCCAAGTTTGGTCCGGATTGGTTAAGAAATGGAATTTTCTATTCGGAACATACGTACAGACAGACAGACAGACATACAGACATACAGACAGACATACAGACAGGCAGACAGACAGACATTCAGCTTTATGTATAAGATTAGCTTGCTAACCCGGCTGCCCGGCCCTGTCAAAACACTGTAATAAAGGTCCCATTCCTATTCATGTACAGCCCTTCCCTGTGCCCATTTCTACACTTTATTTCCCGTTCCCTGTGTTGTTTTCGAAATCAGCATGCCCACTTACCCCCTGTGCCAACTCCCAGCCCCGTAGGTGAACTCTGCAAAAAGTCAATAAAAGCGATAAAACCGATATCGATCGATGACGAAAAGTAACCTATGACACCCGCCCCGCACAAGTGTATATGCGCCAAGTCTGGTCCGGATCGGTTCAGAAATGGAATTTTCTATTCGGAATATACGTACACACATACAGACAGATAGACAGACAGACAGACAAACAGACATTCAGCTTTATATATAAGATACTAGTTACAAGGTAACCCGTAATTGCAATTTTTCTTAAGTTTCTTAAAAATGCGACTCCACGAATCAAATTAGTATAAAAGCTTGTAAAAATTTGTGTAGCGACATCGGCATGTGTAAAACTACATAACTTTCCAATTCTTATGAAAATTTCTTTTTGAACGACCTGTTTCAAGTAGCATTTTGTACCGATGCTGTATGCTAAATGTTTCTGTTTCTGCTTCTAATCTTATTGCAATGAAGAGTAATCGATAAAAGGATCATGTTTGAATCTAACAAACATGTAAGTTGAAGTTAGCGCTACAAAATGGTACTTGAACGTGGCAAACTTTGTGGGAAGTGAAGTGTTAACGACCAAAAAGGGTGTAAGCTTGATTAAACTGGCTTGGAGGCTGAAAGGCAGGGCTTTGTGATCCAATTAAGGTCGCTCGCGCCTCAATGCACTCTGCCTACATACTATACTTTGTGCCGAATCAAATGATTATTCGATTATTCAGATGATTTATTTGAATGCAAATGATCTGAAAATTTGAATATTCGATGATCTGAGATTTCGAGTAATATTCGGTAGTCGAATATTCGAAAAATTTTATTTTGAATATTCTACTACCGAATGTATATTCGAATATTCGAAAATTCGATAAGAATTGATTATTCAAAAATTCGTCAAGCATCAAATGTTCTGAAATTTGATATCTACAACACATACGAACTGTCCCAAGAGTATCTACGCGCTGTTTGATCGCTGTTACCTCTCACAAAGTCTTTTGCCAACCCCTAAGCAACATCCTGTAGGGATGGCTTCAGCTTAAAAATACAGCAAAAGGCGAATCACCCATGTTTTTCTTGTTGTGTTATCACGGCAGGAACTTCCAGCATATAAAGTAATTGCGAAATGATACATTCAGAAGAATTTTACCAAAAAAGATTTGGATACAAGTAGCAAGTTTGTGGTGTGCTAATTTAAATACGCGCGAGTTTTCAAGCTTTTCAATTGTGCAATCACGTTTCTGAAAAGCGTTGGAAAATATCTGTTACAGTGTATAAGTTATGATAACATTACGGTTGAGTGCAAATTTTTTGATATTAGGTTGATGCAAAAAATGATGCAAAACAACAACAAAATGCATGCCCGCTACGCCGACGAAGATGATGATTCACATTTATTCTAAAGTTCAGTACAGTATGCTATTTTACTGGCTTGTAAGAGAGACTTTCGCCTAAATTCAGATTGTTCGCTGCTTAACAGATGTTCTTTGACACGTGACGGATCACTGTCTTATTTCATATGTTGCTGAGCCAGCTATAAGTTGTTTCATACTGCAGTCGTTGCAGCATCTGCAGTTATATGGATGCGGGCAAAAGATATCAATCGATCGACTGTTGCTGCTGCAGCGATTGCAGTATGGAGCAACCCTATGCTGCCTGTGAGAGCCAGATCGCTCACTAGCAGACAAGATCAGCCGCGATCAATGCAGTTCTCTGAACAACGTGATTTTCTGTTGGTCCATCTGTACAACCAAAAGATTCATGGTCCATCCCCAGAATTTCCCATGTGAACCACCATGGTTGTCTGTCGATCATTTTGACATGTCAACTTCGAATAAGCGCCTTGCATTTGCTGGATTTAACGTGTTAAAACGATCAAAAGGCAGCCATATTAGTGGTTCATATGGGAACAGTTCTGGGGGATGCTCGATACATATCAGAAGAGCTTTGCCCAAAAAAATGGACAAGAGAAACATCTGAACCGCGGCACTAAGATGAACAGTTATGGTCGTGGGAGAAAGGAGAAAGTAAGCACACTCAAGAGAATAAGGTTGACACAGACTGAATTGCAAAAGTGAACGCAAGTCCGGGAAGCTTGCCGCGCTCCACGGCCTAAAGCATGACCGATGGCGAAATGAGCCAAAGAATAGCTGTGTGCTCGAATACGTCCGATATGCGCAGTCTAGCTTAGTTCGATTTCCTGGAAGGAGGCACAAAAGTCGAAGGCGAGGGCCGAATGGGATAGCGATTTCTAAGCTTCATAGAATGTCTTTTTCGCTTTAAACTTTACACCTACTCAGATAACCGCCGGGGGCAGGCGGCCATGCGAATTTTGAGCAAGCGCGCACCGGAAAAATAGTTCGTTGATTTTTTGCGGCCCGCTTGCAGAAATTTGGAAGAAAGTTGGCGAAATTAAAGACGAATGCTTGAAGAACAATCGCGGGTTTTTTTTATGGATTAGCTGCGGCGCAGTGGCCGCATTCTCGCGGACTTTCCGCGAGAATATGCAAAAATTTCGAGGGCCGCATGGTCCTTTGTGGAGGACCGCGCAACCCTCAGGTACTTTCCGCTGAGAGAAAGTACCTCAAACTTGAGTAATTAAACCAACGGTGACACCTCTGCCACACAGAGTCTTACCTGCGCTCGACGTACGCCCGAAAATACCTAAAAAGAGTCCGAGCGCTTACTGAAAGTTTGGCCAGCGCTCGCTGAAAGATAATATTTGACGAGCGATCGCAGAAAATTCTGTACTGCTGCCCGCTGGCAGAACGCGGAAGTACCGCCCGCTGAAGGTTTGGCCACGCCCCAAAATTCTGCTGACCGCCTGCAGAAAAGCGCGAGTTTGCGGACCGCCTGCCCCCGGCGATTATCTGAGTAAGCACAACACCAGTCCGCAAAATGTAACGCTAATTAAGTCTACCTGCGCTTCAATTATACCCTCTTTTCAAACTTAAAGTACTCGGGGCGACAGCTGCGAGGCACACGCGCTGCGATGCGCTTGGTCTGTTAGCTCTGAGTTAACTGAAATGAAGGTAGTTTGATAGTATTACTTTCAACACTCTCAACATTGCTTGAAAATCCATCATTGTCGACGCAATCTCACATCTAGTTCAGATGTAATTGTAGTTGAGGCTCCCTTCATAGATGTCAGTCCGCCAAGGTATCAGAATTTGGAGTAGCACAATGTTAAAGACGTGACATTTTACTCAAAGCTCACGTTTAAGATTATGAGCTGTCTTTTGTAATGAAATGCTATTTTAATGAGAGTCAAGACCCTTTCATCAGCAAGTAATTCAGCACTTAGTAGAACATACGGTGAATAATCTATGACCAATATTTTTTGGGCATTTTGAACAAATATTGATTAACACGAAATATGGTGCGTTAAGAACTGGTCTACGAATCAATCATACCATCAAAATCATGAAGCGCTGTCTGTTCGTTTTAGTAATGCTACGCAAAATTCAACTCATCAAATTTCTTACTGTGATGAACAAGTGCTGTCATGAGCCACGTTTTTCTAAATCTTAGAAAACACTGATCGCGTTTGTCTATTCGGATTTCATAGTTGATATCTACTGCTCCGCAAATTAGTTTATCTTCGCCATTAGCCTGTTACAGTCGGTCAAATACGTACTTCCTTTTGCGTAGGAACTTCGCATGCGCAACGCGAGGGCCTTGCGTGCGGACCTCTAATCGATAAGGCCAATTTAAATGCTCAAACCATACGCGCGCGAAGGTGGCGCAAAATTCTAGCGTTGCAATTGCGCTAACGGAAAGAGCAAGTGATTGGCACATACCGTTTGTGCACAGATTTTTTGCTCGGTCAAAAAATCTCTCGACAGCGCAGACCCTATGGGCTCTTTCATGCTGCATAGTAATCTATGAAAATTTCACCATCTATCCATTGTTAGATAAGATGTCACTCAGTCCTCATAGGGGAGCGTTGCCATGTTAAAAAAGAAAGGTCTGACGAAAAACGCTGTGAAGTTTTTGCATTCTTGCTTCTTCGTTAACAAGATTTTCGCAGATCTTACTATGTGTTTCATAGCCAAAGAACTGCTCAACACATAGAAACTAAGATCTTGGAAAAAAGTTGACTTTGTAAGAAGTTACGACGTTTTAAACTCAAAAAATTCAAATTGGACAGGACTTGTGCAGCAACCCAATACTTGGTAGTTAAGGTCGACCCATAACGCGCCTAAAAATGTAGACAATTGGATCATTTTTCAAAAGTCATAATAGGTCTCAATTTCTCTAAATCTTAACAGAACATAACATTTGTTGCAGAAATGCAAGTTCAGCGCCAAACATCCATGTGATTGTGAACAACCACAAAATCTCTCTGAGTGGCCACGCATAATACTACTTGGTGAGGTGGCAAAGTAGCGAGCAGTATACATTGTAAGTGATAAGACCGTTTTAAAGCTCGAGCCTGACCGCGCGTTGTACACGGCATACGCAGCGCACGTCTCATATCACATTTGCGCCTCAGACACTCGCTGTTCGCGCCAGAGATACCCCTTTTGTAGGGGTTCGCAGGAAAGCGCGTACACATGCGCGAGACAATTTTCAACAGATTCTCGAGATTGTAGCGAAGGAACCACGAAATGGTGAGTGACTTAGCGAATTGTTGCGCAATAGCGACCTTGTCCTGCTTGAGCCTTAGCCTAATGTTTGAATCGTTCTCCTCCCTAGCTTTCAATATACTGTTTTTTCTTCGCTTTTGATTCTTACTCTCCTTCTATTTTTAGTCATCAAATGTAAAAAAATGAGCCATGACGTGTTGGATGGTTTTCGTGCTCTATATCTCAATCCTTACAAATTCAAACTCATTGGTCTCCACATTATTTCCCAAAAACTTCGTTTGTTTCTCTATATGGCCACAAAAATCCGCTTTTACAAGATAAAGACCTTTTCAGAAGGAGTTTATATGGACTCGCCAGGAAGTAAATACTAACACCAAGTCGGGGCAGTCACTTTACAGCAAATCAAGATTCTGATTTGCAGGCCACTCCCTCTATGCTTAGTTTTTCTGGGATCTGTTGCCTGATCTTGTCTTTCATCTAATTTTGTAGCCAACCATTTTGAATATTATTTCAGCACTTTCTAAAAAGAAAAAAGACTCTGCGGAGACTGATGACGATGGTGAGGAGGTACATTTCGGCCAGTCTGTGAGTTTTCGAATTACCTTCATCTTATGTGTACATATAATGTCTTAATTTGAGGTTTATGTTTCAGTCAGTATCTGTTTTTGATAGGTTTCAAATGTCGTGTTTTCGATAGCCCACTACTCAGATAATCGCCACGGGCAAGCGGCCATGCTAATTTTGAGCAAGCGCGCACCGGAAAAATAGTTCGCTGATTTTTTGCGGTCCGCTTGCAGAAATTTGGAACAATTTTAGCGAAATTTTAGACAAATGCTTGGAGAAAAATCGCGGTTTTCTTATAGATTAGCTGCGGCGCAGTGGCCGAGAATATGCAAAATTTTTGGGGGCCGCACGGTCCTTTGTGGAGGACCGCGCAGCCACGAGGTACTTTCCGCTGAGAGAAAGTACCTCAAACTGCAATTAAACCAACGGTAACACCTCTGCCACGCAGAGTCTCACCTTTGTTCGGCGTACGCCCGAAATTGCTCAAAAACCGTCCGAGCGCCGGCTGAAAAATTGACCAGCGCTCGCTGAAAGAAGTTATTTGCCTAGCGCTTGCAAAAAATGCTGTATTGCTGCCCGCTGGCAGAATATGCGACCGTAAAGGAAGTGCCGCCCGCTGAAGGTTTGGCCACGCCCCAAAATTCTGCTGACCGCTTGCAAAAAAGCGCGAGTTTGCGGACCGCCTGCCCCCGGCGATTATCTGAGAAGCTGCTGTCAAAAGCTGAAAATTCACATTCAAGCTTCTAAGGTCCTGTAGGAGACAAATGCTAGTGCTAGAATATCTCAGCACTAGTTTGGCAAAGACATGAAAAGTTCGTTTTCTCATCGTTTAGCTGAGAAAAAATACAGCAACTGCATCTTATACGAAATGACAATGCAAGAGCAATTCAAAAATTTTGAAGAATTTTTCTGAACAAACTTCCAATTTTTTGGGTTTTTTGGGGGCGCTTGCATCTTTTTGGCTTCAATCTTCGCTTGGAACAAAGCTGCTGCAAATCTTTGAGCAATATCTTGTAGAGCTCTATCTAATGATATATCGAATCCTATTTGGGATATAGGATTTTGCGAATTATTGCGGTCTGTACTTATTTTGGTGCAGAATTATGCATCAACCTGATACATTACGTCGCCCTCCAAATAAATCAGAATGCGTACGAAATATCTCGAAAAATCTGCTGCTGCTTGAGGAAAGATTACTGTAGCTTCTGCGGTGCTTCAGGAGTTTTCAAAATTGAAGACTACTTTTTTTGACTTCAAAAATTCTTCTTTACAACGTCTCTTCAACGTGACGTTGGGCATCTGAAGGCAGGTTCTTCAAGGGGGAGGGTAGACGAGTCATCCAGAAAAGACACAAGGAATGGTCTTTGCTACAAAATCATCGAATTCATAGCGGAGGGCCACACAGCGTAGGGCGGACATCGCCGCGACAAAGTCTTGTTCTCCGACTTGAAGTTGGTAGAAGGAAGAGAACAAGCACAAACAGCGATAGTACGAAGATAAGAGATTATTGGTTGTTTTGTTTGTTGTCAATTTGGTTGAATAAATTTTATTAATTGATGAAGGGAAAATTCGAGGATAATGAAGTTGTAAAAAATGGATTTTTTTGCCTTCTCGAATTTTTTGTTATAATTCCAAAAGACTTTTTCAATTCCTGATAAATGGGGGCATGACGCATATGAACCTGCAAAGCAGACTTAGGGCTTTCAAACACACATATAAATTTTGCAAAACACCGCGCAAAACATTGAGAAAAATCAAAATCAAAAATAAGACAGAACTTGTTACACAACCTAATATAATTTTTATCATAGGAGTTTAGTCTGTTTGTTCCAGTTGAAAGTAGAAGGCGTTTCTGAAAGGATGCAAATTGGCTTACAAGTGCTTACTGAAATCAAGGCATGTGTGATGGTTCACAAGTATCACAAGTACAACCAATGCAGCTTTGATGGCTAAGTTGAGTTTTTCGTAATGCGTATTCAACCGCTGTTGCCGCACATCAGCTTTTAAACATTGACTATTGAGTTTCTAACTGCAGCTTTTAACCGATATTTCTCCTTGTGTGTCGTTGGACTAGCCAAGAGGTTTCTGTGTGCATCTCCTACGTATTATGCTAGGAATGAGTCTTGATCTCAAACAATTAACTTACCTTCGTTGCAGTTTTAGGCTTCTCGACTTTGGACTAAGATGCGAAAGTGTGTAGGTCAACCACATAAAGCCACAGCCATAGGGGTATATCTCAAGGGATTCTAGTCGCGAGCGACTTGGTAATACTCCAGGCTTATAACTCGTCGCAAACTCAATTTGATTACACGGAAATAGCACATTTACCAAAGCTGAATACAACAAGCATTTGTGGTCTGCAATTATTGGGTTTAAGAGATCTGGCAATTGGCCAAATCGCGTGGCGACTGAGATGCGGAGAGCTATGCCCAGGGCGATACAGACAATGAATTATCTTCTCGATATCAAAGCATGTTTTATTAGGTCGTGTGAAACGTTCTGTCCCTTTTTTCTTTCGATTTTTTATCAATAATAATCACCCTATTTGGAATAAAGTGTATATGCCTTTGAAAGCTCCAAGTCTGCTCTGCAAATTAGCAAGCTTCATCCCCCAAATTAGCAGGATATTGAAAACAGTTGTTGGCATCCATAGAAAAAATCTAAAAGAGCAAAAAATCCATTTTTGACATTTTTTTTCTCTCCAAGTTTCACTGTTTTCCATGGGTGATCTTCACTCAACAAGTTTGACAACAAACGAAACTACTTATTAGATCTTATGGTTGTAATGGCATTGTTTGTGCTTGCTCCCTTCCTTCTACCGACTTTTTGATGCTTTTTTTTTCAGAAGGGCAAAGCAAAAATCGGCTGCGGCGATGTTCGTCGTCTTGCCTACCTAGGTTGTGTATCCCCTAAACGTCAAACTTTTAAGTAACTAACTTATGACTGATGATTTTATAGTCAAAGACGATCTCTATGCTTTATCTGGATTGTCCGTCTACCTCCATTTCTCAGCACTGCCTTCAGATGCCCAACGTGAACATTGAAAAGACACTAAAGAGAAGACTGTTCTGGAGTTTGGAGGGAAATTTTTTGAAACTTCTCTGTGTTTTTGAACCTCTGCGGAAGCTATAGCATTCTTTCCTTACGCTCAGCAGATTTTTCAGCTCTTTTGTAAGTTTGTAACCTAAACGGGAGTGATACAAATTAGTTGTCGAAAATGGATTTTTCCCTCTTTGGTATCCCAAACTTGATGCTGGGAAACTTTTGAATATCCACTGATGAAGGAACCTGAAGTAAAGATTTTGGTAGAGCAGACTCATAGCTTCCGAATGCATATAAACATTTTGCAAAACATCGTGCAGAATACTGTGAAAAATCGAAAGAAAAAATGGGACAGAACTTACTACACAACCTAATAGAAATGAGAAAATGGCTGATTGCTGTTCAAACGTGCACAGGTTTACCCGTCTATAAAATTCGAGGGAAAGAAGGCGGACCAACACACAATACAACAACAGTACATATCCTCGTACTCCTGTATATCATTTTAGAAAATTGCAGTAAACTTGTCAGTAATGAATGTCTATATTCCATTTCTACACCTATATCATGAGACAAGTAGGGATATAGCAATAATAGTATTGCGAGATAACGCGTTTCAGCTCCGTCGGACATCAGGGTAACGCGCTCGAGCTACCGCATATTTCCTGCAAAATGAGTACCGCGCTAAAGCGCTGTCTTTGGCAGCATAGTCCGATGTGCATGATGCGGTTTCGGGATTCTGTCGCGAAGTCGATTACTTGTATACAGTCAATCCACCCTTACACAAAACTTTGAGCTGCGCGAGTCAACAACCAATGCCTAAGACGGTGATATGGGCTTAGCTGCGTAAGTCACTACCCGCGTACGCAGCGCAGTTTAGCCCAACTCAAACACGGTCTATACCTGAATAATATGAGACGACATTTTATACCTTTACACGTTTCTACAACAAGCAAGCAGATGAAAACTACATCAATGCGAGTGATGTGTAGTTCAGCCCTGAGTGGCTTGCAATGGAGCGTGTTGGCTGAGGAAACACTGACATGCGACCGGTAGCTGAAAATAAAAAGTGGGACACTCAAACTAATTTTTTCCAAATAATACTGCCATGGAGACATCAATATTTAGAGACTTGATGATACCCAAATGGCAGACCTCAAAACAAGGCGCTCGAATTGTTGGAGTCAATTCCGCAGAACAAGTGGTAGCTACTATACCTGGGTCCGAATCGAATGGAAATTCAATCATTCGAATAAAACATTCGAATATGTTGGCATTCGAAATTCGATATTCGATATTTATTCCCATTTTCGAATAACATTCGAAACTCGAATAATTGAGAAGACGAGCTTTCAAATAAAATTCGAAATCGATTATTCAAAAAACAGAGTTTCAAATAAAATTCAACTCGAATAACTAAAAAACGAGGATTTGAATGAAATTCGAAAACTCGAGTAATTGAATAACGAGAAGGCTTCGAATAGATTTATTCGAATGTTTATTTGAACTTGTATTCGAATAAATTTGGTACTTAGCTTTCGAGTTTGTTGCAGAGCCAACGGCTGAGTACCAAGCCAGCTTCTGCATTTTTTTCCACAAAACTCGGTAATGCATCTTTTTGCAATCGTCATGGCTTGGAACTGTATGGAAAGTCGCATTCCTCTGACTGCTTGCGACATTTAAAAAAAGTTGTGGATTTTAACTGATGTTTTTTCGATCAATGAGATAGTTCGCACTGCTACTGGCAGAAAATCAGAAAAAACAGCTATCAAATTCAAGCTCATGCTGCCAGTTCCAGGAAATGTAATGACATGCCTGTTTCTCTTTCCTTGCATTACTCATGCTTTTGGAACGCAAAGGTCGACTATAGTGAGCTATAGTGAGCACTCTTGCTTGTAAAACTATTGCTGCACAACTGCCTCTGTTCTTTACCTTAGAGATTTTTGAAAATTGGTGTAATTTGAGTAAAGGACATTGCAGCTGTAGTGGAGGATCAGACGATTGCTGGATTTTGCAGTCATATCACCTTGCAAAAGTTTTGTTCAGTAGATATAAATGATAGTTCAAAGTTATCACAGTGCATCCAAGATTTTTTACGGAGGCTTATAGGCATTTTAAAGCTATCAGCCTATCAGCTATGGTGAAGACTAAAGCTGGACAAAGAAGGTCCATATTGAGAAATGCGAGCTTTGATTATGACAGGCCCGCACTCACTTCACGCAACAGTCGTGCGCGATTTGCCGGTTACAAGATGTTAGCTATGGGGTGGGAGTTGGTATAGGCGGTGAATGAATGAATGAGGGTGCTGAATGAAAATAAATCTTTTCATCGATTTCACCGATTCTTGGCAAATCTGGGCTAGGAGTGGATATAGGGGATATGAGGGTGCTGATTACGAATGGATCGGCTTTAGCCGAATATGTCAGCAAGTTTTAGATCTGGTTGCTTTAGTTATTCGATAAATCATTCGAATATTTATTCGAAATTCGACTCCCAGTGTTCGAATATAATCGATATTCATTCCATATGTCTGATTCTATTCGAAATTCATTCACTCGATTTTTGAATCTCGAATTTATTCGATATTCGTTTATTCGATTTTTTATTTTCGAATCAATTCGACATTCATTTATTCGATGAAAAATTTTGAATTTACCCAAGTATACTATACTTGGGTCCGAATCGAATGGAAATTCGATCAATCGAATAAAACATTCGAATATATTCGTATTCGAAATTCGGTATTCGGAGTTCTTCTATCTTCGAATAATATTCGAAACTCGAATAGTTGAGAAAACGGGGTTTCGAATAAAATTCGAAACTCGAATAATCAAAAACGAGGATTCGAATATTATTAGAAAACTCGTTTTTTGAATCCTCGAATAATCAAAAAACGGGGTTTCGAATGAATTTTATTCGAATGTTTATTCGGATTCGTATTCAAATGAACTCGAATTCAGATTATTCGACTTTGTCGCAGAGCCAAGTGTTTGAGTATCAAGCTCACTTCTTCCGCGTTTTTTCGCAAAACTCGGTAATGCATCTTTTGCAACCGTTATGACTTTTGAACTGTATGGAGAGTCGCATTCCTCTAACTGCTTGCGACAGTAAAATAATCATAGGATTTTAGTTGATGGTTTTTCGATCAATGAGGTTGTTTGCACTGCTACTAGCACCAAATCAGCAAAGAAGCTATCAAATTCAAGCTCATGTTCCGAGTTCATACGTTGAAAGTGTTTGAGATGCCTGTTCTTCTCCCTTTGCATTGCTCACGGTTGCGGTATGCAATGCCCACGCTAGTGAGCACTCTTGCTTGCATAAGTTATATTGCACAACTGCCTCTACTCGTTACCTTAGAGATTTTTTGCGAATTGGTGCATTTTGAGTAAAGAGATCGCAGTTGTAGTGGAGGATTAGACGGTTTAGATCGCCGTACGCGATTTGCCAGTTATGAGATGTCATCAAATGTAACGCTAGCTTACCACAAATGTTTAACGTGTACAACTTCCAAAAAGATAAATGCCCTGCATTCTGTACTGTTAGAACAAGTTTTGGAGAATTTGCTATTGTCAAACCACGTCGCCACTGAAGTGCCTGCAGTATGCTCGGAGCTATAGGGGCATTCGTGCTCGTTTCGCGAAATAAACCACATGCCTTTGTAGCTACATGCCTTCGAGCTACGCTGGGAGTTAGTACGTAAAAATTTACTATCGATTTTATCGATTTTTGGAAAATCTTGAGTTACGAGATTGGGAGTTGGTATTGGTACAGGGGGGGGGGGGGGAGGGTAAATGAGGATGCTTATCAAAACCAAAATCTAAAAAATCAATCAAAATCAAAATAAAATTCAAAAAGCCAATTTGTGCGATTTTCGAAAATTTTGAGCTAGGAGTTGGCATAGAGGACACGAGGGTGCTGATTACGATTGGATCGGCTTTAGCCAGATATGTCGGCAAGTCTAAGATGTGGTGCTCTAGTTATTCGATAAATCATTCGAATATCTATTCGAAATTCGACTTCCAATGTTCGAATATATTCGATATTCGTTCCTTCGATATTTTTGATTTTCCGAATTTATTCGGAATTCATTCATTCGAGAATTTTTGAACCTCGAATTTATTCGATATTCGTTTAATCGTGATTTTTTATTTTCGAATTTTTTCGGTATTCTTTTATTCGAAATTTTTCCTGCTCGAATTTAATCGATATTCTTTCATTCGATGAAAAACTTCGAATTTATCCAAGTATAGTACCTACTAGACTTTGAACCGAATCGAATGATTATTCGATTATTCGAATGCGAACGATACGAAAATTCGAATATTCGAAAATCTGATATTTCTAATAATATTCGATGGTCAAATATTCGAAATTTTCGTTTGATATTATTCGAACGTCAAATAATGGAAAATCTTAATTTTCGTATAGCATTCGGTAGTCGAAATGGAATATTCGAATGTTCGATAAGCACTGTATTCGAAATTTCATAATAGAAATTTGATACCCACAACATACAGGGTGTCTCAAAAGTATGTACACACTGTTTGTTCTTTAATGTCTCGTTTCCCAAGGAGCCTCTGGCTCCAGGAATCCATTCTGTAGAGCTGCTTCAATTTAGATTTACAGTTCAAAGCGAATCACCGGTCGCAATCCGTTACTGTAGAATTACGGTGGAAAATTCAAAAAGGATTGATAGAGCCATGTGAAGTGAGGTTATGTGAAGTTTCTACTTTGCCGCAACGCTTGTAAACCGCAAGAGCTGTCTTGACAATGCTCCGTAAAATCGTGATTATACCAAATGAAAAGCTTTGCAAACTTGTAAAAAGTTGACTAATAAGATCAGCCCGCGTGAAAACCCTAGTACACCACCTTTCAGACTTTTTAGAAACTTTTTTTTTGAAACGCTACTAATGCGCAAGGACGCTGTAAGCTGAAAATCTACCGTAACACTACAGTAACGGAGAAATTCGCTCATTCGCTCATGCAATCAGTGATTCGCTCCATACTGTAAATTTAAACTTGAAGCCTGCTCTACAAAGCGGTACCTGAAGTTATGTAAAAGACTTCTTGGAAAAGGAGATATTGACGATCAAACAGTGTACACATACTATTGGGACACTTGTATACGGGGTGTCCCAAAAGTACCTACATTTGGTCGCTAATACCTCCCACGAAATTTGCCAACCTTTAAGTAACATCCTACGGGGATGGTGCTCAAAAATATAGCAGAGAATCATCCGCGTTTTTCTTACCGCGTTATCCAGGTAGACTTCCAGCATATAGAGAAACTGCGAAATAAGACATCCAAGAGAATTTTCCCAAAAGAGATCTAAAATCTGTGCAGCATTAAAAAAGTGACTATTCGTTATACTTACATGAAGCGATTTGTTGTAATATGTTTTGGTTTCTCATAGGAGTCTCGCTGACAAAAATTATTCGAATAATACTCAAAAAGTGAATAACATTCAAGAATCGAATAATAGAGAACCGAAAAATATTCGCAAATCGGGAGGGGGACTTTTTATACGATCGGGGACTTCGCACCTAGTTTTCGCACCTACACACCTATTCAGACAATCGCTGGGTGCAGGCGGGCACCGGAAAAATAGATTGCTGATTTCTCGCACCCCGCTCGCGCATTTTTTGCAAAGCAATCAGGACTTTTCGGAAGACCGCTTGCTGAGTCAGCGGATTTTTGAGAGACCGCCTGTTAAATTTTTTTTCGCTCTTATCTTTTGCAGATATATTGCTGAATCTCTGAGGAATCGAGAACTCAGCAAGCGTCCTTCCGAAAAGTCCTGATTGCTTTCCAAAAAATCCGCGAGCGGGGTGCGAAAGATCAGCAATCTATTTTTCCGGTGCCCGCCTGCCCCCGGCGATTGTCTGAGAAGCTGCACCTCTCCACTACGGCTGGGGAAGGGGGGGGAGGAGAATTTTCATATGAAGGCTCCCTGATCACCTTGACCTTTTGGCAGCGTGCCAGGGATGCTAATATGACGAAAATTATCGATTACAATGAACAAGAAAACTTATTATCAAAAATGTAGAAGATAAGT